CCATTCTTCGTTGTCAATTCCCCCCCCCCCCCCCCTGCGTCAATCGTTAAGGAAGGTCACGGTCGGCGTTTGTTTTGCCGCACAGTGGGCCAGAAGCTCGGTGCAGGCGGTCGAACCTCGAGACGCGTTTTGAGCTCTAGAGTCGCTAATCGGGCCTCGAACCGAACGTGTGACCCCACCAATGGATTGCTCTCCGAACGAGGAATCCATTGGTGGGGTCGCACGTTCCGTTCGAGTCCCGTTTGCGTGACTACATTGAAAATTCGATGTCCGACCACGGCCCGCCGACTTTCCTGCATCGGTGTCGGCGGTTATGCCATCGATTCCCACTTCACGGTGGTCCGCCGCCTCTCGAAGTGTCTGCCGGAGAGAGAAATTAACCCTTTCGCTTTTTGGGTGTTGCAGGTGAGCTGACGCGGCGTCCGCGGTGATGGTGTCCACGGGGACCGCGACGGGGCCATTGGGACGTCTGGGACCGGTGGGTGAGGACGGCCCACAGTGGGCCAGAAGACTGGAAGTGGTGGCCAAAATTCTAGACGCGTGTTGAGCTCCAGAGTCGCTGAATGGGACTCGAACCGAACGTGTGACCCCCACCAATGGATTGCTCTTCGAACGAGGAATCCATTGGTGGGGTCACACGTTCGGTCCGAGTCCCATTTAGCGACTCTGGAGCTCAAAACGCGTCTAGAGTTTTGGCCGCGTCCACCGGTCTTCTGGCCCACTGTGCGGCCTGGCCTGTCCCGGCCTGGCCGGACCGGGCTCCTCCTGAGTGAGGTGATGCGACACTGCGACACTCCCTTCAGGTTCCGGAACGGAAGTAGGCCGTTTCCGGTCGTGATTACGTCAAGCCTATCTGGCCCTTACCGTGTAGTGGCCGGCCCAGCAGACTGATTCCGAGAGTCGTCGCGCTGTCTCTCTCGCACTCATGGGGCGTCCCGCGCAGGTGCGAGAGAGACAGCGCGACTGGGCCTGCAGGCACGCGTGCCACGCGCCCGGCGGCCTTCGGGCCTTCGCGTCCTGGAGCGTGACAGGAGGCGCCAGACCACGTCGTCCAGCGCACTGGCGCTGTCTCTCTCGCACTCGCGGGGCGGGCCGGGGGCCGGGGGCGAGCGAGAGAGGGAGAGAGAGCGCCGAAGGCGTCTGCCTGCGGGTCGGCTTCATGGCGGCCCGCGCCGCTACGCCCTGGTAGGCCGGCATGGCGGCATGGCGCCCGTTGGTTGCCATGGCGACGGCGGCAGTGTAGCGGAGCGCGCCGTGAGGGTAGGCCACCCAACGGGCGCGCGCGGCGGGCGGGCGGCGTCGCAGGCTGTCCGTCTGGCCTGCCTGCCTGCCTGCCTGACTCCCGGAGGGCCTTCAATGGACGCTCCACAGTCCGTTAATTAGCGTTAATGCTGCCCCGATGCCCAAACGATTCATCGATTCTCATCAGCGCGATCAAAACTCCCAAAGGGTTCCTGATTAAACACGTGCCGCCCGATTGTCCACACCGGCTTCCTCCACTCGACTTGTGTACAGTCAGGCAAACTGAAGGTCTCGCTTTCAACTTTTTAACAGTGTACCGAGCTAGGTCCAGCGGCTCCTCAGTGCCGTGCCGCCCTCTAGTGTGGGAGAAGCGCCGAGTAAAAATCGGGGTGTTGAACTGATTAAAATTCAAAACGAAAAACAACCGTCCCGAAATTAGTGCAGTGTGGGAACACCGCGGCGCGTTAACGCGCGAGGGTGTTTTATTGTTATTTCGTTTTCAGTTTCGTCGCTTTTTTTTTTGTTTTTTGTTTGTCGAGGTGCATGTCCGGCCGGCCAGCGTGTATTTACATGACAAAGTCGCTGCACTGCAACGGGACTGGGGCTCTGCCGGGCTCTGCATCCACCTGGACTAATTAGTCCTAAAACGCGGCCACGCCGTTCGCACTCACTCAGACCTCTGCGTCTCTCTCTCTCTCTCTCTCTCTCTCTCTCTCTCTCTCTCTCTCTCTCTCTCTCTCTCTCTCTCTCTCTCTCTCTCTCTCTCTCTCTCCCCCACGCACCTCCCGTTTTAAATGGCCCGCCTAGCGTAACTCTGCCGTGTTTTTATCTTTTTCGTCAAATCGCATTATCGGGATCATGTGTGTGGTAGGTTGTAATTGTAGGGAGCGAAGCGCGTGTGCCCACCCGATTTCTCATCCTTCTCCGAGAGAGAGAGAGAGAGAGAGAGAGGAGAGAGAGAGAGAGAGAGAGAGTTTAGTTTATAAAAATGTTTTATTGGGGGGAATTGAATTAACAATCATTGGGATGATGTAGGACTAGAGTCAATTTGGTACAATGAGCATGCTGTTTTTAGAGAGAGAGAGAGAGAGAGAGAGAGAGAGAGTTTTTTTTTGAGTTTTTAAAATGATTTATTGGGGGGTTTTGAAATGTACAATGCGGGCCAAAGGGGGTGTAAAATATATGTCACAAAAAGCATGCCGTTTTCATTGTAACTTGAGGTGTTCTTTGGTGTGTGGTGCTGTTTTTACAATTTGTTTTTTTTTTTTTTTTTTTTTTAAATAAACATTTTAATAATTTAGAAAATAAATGTATTTTGAAAAAATAAAAGTCAAAAAGCTTGTAAAAAGGATATAGTCTTCAGAAGATTTTGCGGAGAAGCGCCTGTGGGGTAGGCCACATCAGGGTTGGAGCGCTCCGGCGTGGTGGTGGTTGCCTACCCGGCTGGTGGCAGGCGTCGTCCTCTGGCAGCCGGCTGTCTCGAAGCGTGGCACACCGCTGCGGGGTCAGTCAGACGTCATCACAAGTCTCTTCTTTTCTTCTTTTTCTTTTTGTTCTTGGAGGTTTGAGGGATTGTGATTAATTTTTGAAAGGTGGTGGAGTTTTGTTGAAGTTTGGAGTTTTGGGATATGAAGAAGAGCTGAGGGTGAAAATGGCTGGAAAACATTTGGATTGGGATTTAATTTGATGAAGGGGGTGGGGAGAGAGCTTGATTTATGAGGAAGGTGGTTTTATAACTTTCTGTAGTTTTGCATAGCTCAGCGTGGACTTCTTCTAGCTTGATTCTGTAATCTATTCTCTTCTTGAAGATTTGTAGGTAAGCTGGCAATGGTGGTGACTCTTCTTTAATGTAATTCATGTATGTCCTGTAAATAGTGCTTTTCACTAAGGACAGCAGAAAATTGGATAATCTTCCTTCCGATGTTGTTGGTGGAAAACCGACTATTGCTTGATGCAGCGAGATTGGATGCTGGCTTCCTAGAATTGTAGTGATTTTGCTGGATGCAAAAGTCCACAATGGAGCAGCTGCCCTACATTGAAAAATCATATGAATTACATCACCTTCTTTGTTGTGGCACCAGGGGCAGTTTTTTTCCGAGATTACATTCCATTGTTGCAATTTCTTGGGTGTGACAAGGGCGTCATGAAGTAATCTCCATGAAACATCTGAATCTCTTCTGTCAATTGGTGGAGCATATAAAGCTGTCCAATTATCTTCTCTGGGGTAATTCTTGATTTTCAGTAATTTCTGGTTTTGTGAGAACTGAGTTCAGACTTGCCAGATAAAGTGTCTTCTTTGTTGCTGGAAAATGTTGGTTTCTTCTGATATGGAGAATCAAATTGAAATCTTGTTTGGTTCAAGATTTCTGATGGATCAAGGTTTTCCATTTTCTTGCTGAAGTAGATTTTAATTTGGTTGTAGTTGAAGGACAATCTTCTTTGTTGGCTGATAGGCAGGTGTTGCAGTTGTAGAGTTTTCCAATTTCCATTTTCTTCCAATATTTTTTCTAAGGTTGTGAATCCACAGATGTTCCAGTCAGGGACGATTCTCAATTTGTCTTCTTCAATTAGCTTGCTCCCTCGGAGAGGCATTTTTCTGAGGATCTTGATTGGGATGGTTGTTGTAATTGGAGATGGATTTATATTGTGCCACGCAACAAGCACACTTTGGTAGAAGATGTCTAGGTTGGCCATTTCCACTTCTTGTTTCTTCTGGCAGAAGAAAAGTTGAGGATCGATGTTGCCATATCTTGATAGGTTGTAGTGATGAAAGAGAAAAGTGGCTTTCTTGTTGTAGAAATTTTGCTGGATTCTGTGGGCAAGGCTTAGACGTAGGCAAAGGATTTTTGCTTGAATATTAATGAGATCAATTCCTCCTTTTTCTTGAGGTGCATAAAGGTAGTTTGAGTGTACCCAATGCTTTCCTTGCCATACAAAATTATTTAGCTCTCTTTGAACTTCTTGAATAAATATTTTGGGTGGTTGTAGTACATTGGCAGTATGTATAAGTAGAGAGCCAACAAGTTGATTGCAAATTATTTTCCTTCCAATAAGTGAAGTTAGTTTAACAAATTGAGACCACCTGTTTAAGGTTCCTTTAATTTTAGTGCTGAGTTGTTGCCAGTTTTGTTCTTTGGCTGAGTGACTATTCGCATCCCCTTAGAACTGGCATTGAAACAATCCCACTCGGCCATGAGTCTAAAGGGCCCTGACCGCTCTTAGCATCGTCGTGGATGTGAGATTGATATTCATTTGTTTTGTTGGTGGTGGTGTTGCCAACTGTTCATGGCCGGGGGAGATGTGTGGGGAGGTGATATGTACGGATGAAAGTGGATGTATTGGATTTTTCTAGATGGTGGTTACCATGTGTAGCGTGAAATAAAAGTGTGTTGTAGAATACATGTATTATGTGAATTTTTACGTTCTTAAATGAATGAAGAAATTTTGCATGAGTAAGAATCTGCAGTGTTACCCTGAATAGTGCCAACAGCACAACGTTTGCGGGAGAGTTTGCATGTTTTAAACATGGGAACGAAAAAGGAGAGGGATGTAATGAGTTGTCTGAAGTGAAGGTGGAAGTGGGAGAAATGAAACGTATGATAAAATGAAGGAATAAATAAATCGTAAAATATGTAAAAGTTGGGATATTTTTTTCATTGCATGGGTCGGTGTGATACACTGATTCAAGTCTGTTCTTCCCTGATATAATGGTAGCCTACTAATGGTGGATATTGTTATTAATTATAATAAAGAAAAAGATGATGGGTACTCGCAAACAGGGGAAGATTGGTCGTCATATGAAATGCTGCGTGAATGGGTGTGATAATTTCAAAGGATTAGATGGAGAAGAAGGGCCAGTTCGATTGCATAAGTTCCCATCACACATTGAACAGTAAGGAATAAAAAGAAAAAAATTATTGGTAATTTAGTATGAAAGCATTTGTGACACGAAAGATCTTTTCAGGTGTAGTAAATGGATCATATTCAGTGGTAATGCAGAGTTAACTCATGATACCGTGAAACAGTATCGGATGTGCAGTGATCATTTTAATGATTCAGAGTATAGTAATGTAGTGAAACGTATTCGTTTAAAGAAAGGTGCTGTGCCTACAAAAAAGGTATCTCTAAAACAATGAAAAAGAAAAAAGTGAAGAAATATCAGGCAATCAAGAATATTGTACTTTTTATATGTTCTTATTTACTGTATTATGTTATAGAAAGTCAATAGAGATGGGGGTTCCAAAGATGAAGGTGAAGAAGAAACAAAAAATGAAGGAGTGAATGAGGAAATAGATGATAACAATCATAATATTGTATTAGAAGAAGGAATCATATTAAATGTTGAAGAGACAGAAAACAGTGAAATTGATGAGGTATACTCTACAAAGAAAAATGGTACTGTTACATCTGAAAAAGATACTTGTTCTGAAAATTGCAAAAGAGAGCATAGTGAAACTAATCAGGTAAAAATCAAGTGAATAGATAGGAGTGAAATTGAATTGCAAACAAGCCATGTAACATTTCTAATTGGCAGGTGTTTATGGAAAGTGTCAGAGAAGACGAACATGTCCTACATATTTCTGGTATATGTTGTGTTGACATGAATGGAGGAGAAAACACATGGAAGTACATTGAAAGTGAAAAAGAAAATGCAACAAGTGTGGTAGTGATACCCAGTTTTGTGAGTATAATATATGTCAAATATGTCAAATCTGAACTCATCAGATGGAAATGAAATTTTTTTAATGACTGGATTTTACAGGAGGAGACTGATGAAGATAATAGTGACATAGAAGTGTATAAGGTTTCATATGGATGTGAAGACAAAAGCATACCACTTAATGATGCTATTCAAATTGCAATGCATGGTGATCCAGAGAATGATTTAGAAGAAACTGATAATGAAAGGTGAAATGTTAAAGAAAAATCACTGTTGTTCCATTTTTGATAGTGACTAATGAGAAATGTATTTTATCAGGATGTATGATGATGATATGGATATTATTCCAATGATATATGAGGTTATTAAGGAAAAAAGAGCATGGCAGACATGCTGTGTTCCAAAGTGCAATAACACAAATGTAAACAAAAGTATGTTTCATTTCCCTAAGCCAGTGAAACAAGTAGAAAGACAAGAAGTGATAAATGAAGATAATTTAAAAAGGTAAGATGCTTAGTAATCAACTACAAAATCCTCATGTTAAGTAATGCTATTATTGCTCATCCAGGTATATTGAATGGGTATCTATAATCAACAATCTACGCATCGCTGAGGTAGATCCACTGAGTGGTTATAAACGGTACTTTGTCTGTAGTGACCATTTTGAGGATCACCACTTTAAAGATTTCACTGCAAAAAGGAAAAGGTTAAAGGGAAATGCTGTGCCATCTAAAATAAGTACTGAACCACTACCACAGCAAATAATGGAAGATTTTAAATCAATGACACAGACATGGAAAGGTAAATAGAGTATTTAGATACTAGAATTGCTTGAGAGGACGGAAAAATAATACCATTAAATTTTTATTTTTACAGATAATATCCAGCAACCAATGTTAATAATATCTGATGATATATGTGCAGAATCATTTTTAGAAGATAAATTAATTTGGTATACATGTGACCACTGTAAAGAGAAACGTTTAGTGGGATCAAAAGCTCCAAAGAAATGCTGTCATGGCAAAAAATGTTCTGATTATACTGAATCAAATAATATGGATCCTGGTGAAGTTCCAGATGAACTAAAAGACCTTACATTTATTGAGGAACAATTAATAGCACGAATTCATCCCATTATATCATATTTCAAGTTAAAAGGTTTGCAGTACGGATACAGAGGAAATGTCATAAATTTTCCACAACATGTAAATGACTTTGCCAGAAAGTTGCCCCATAAAATAGAAGATTTGGCAGCAGTTGTAAACGTTAGAAGAAAAACTAAAGATGATGGATATCATGATTTTAGAGTGCGATCAATGAGGATTCGAAAAGCTTTAGAGTGGTTAAAGATTCACAATCCATACTACAAAGACGTAGATATAAATGAAGAATATTTAAATAATCTTCCAGTAGATGGAAACATTTTGTCTGAACTCAATGTGGAAGATAATGAGGATGATGAAAGTGAATCAAATGATGTTATTGATACTGATACTGAAACTGGTGACAGAATATATCATACAGGAATCAGTAACACTCAATTTCCTCAGCAAGATGAGCAAATTAAAGAATATTTAGATTGGCCTAAATTAGGTAATGAACCTATAGATGAATTCAATACACCAGGATATATCGCATGTGCTTTTCCATCATTATTTCCATATGGAAACGCAGATCTCAGGCAGACGAGAAAAAATGAAATTAAAACATCAAATTATTTTAAGCATTTAATATATTACCATGATGAACGATTTGCAAAGCATACAACATTCAGATTCTTTGCATATAATTCCTGGATGCGATGGACTGCTTTAAAAGATGGCAACGTATTTGTTGAAAAACATACTGAATACCAAAATATGACAGCTGAGAGATTAAAACAATTGATTGCACAAAATCCAACAATAATGAAGAAAATTATGTTTCATGCATCAAATTTAAGAGGAACAAAAGCATTCTGGCATGCAAGAGCTAATGAATTGAGAGATATGGTTGAGCAATTGGGGTTGCCAACTATCTTCCTAACATTAAGTTGTGCAGATGGACACTGGAGTGATTTATTCAAGTTATTAACGGGGAATGATGACATAAGTACCCTCACGGAATCTGACAGAAGAAAATTGATTCAAGATAATCCAAAGGTTGTTGACGAATTTTTCGATCACAAAGTGCAGTCTTTTATCAAACATGTACGTATTAACAGTGTCACACATAAATTTTTATCATGTAAAACATATTTATACTTTATGATTCATTTAACAGGTGATGAAGAAAAAATATAAAGTGAAAGATTATTGGTATCGAGTGGAATATCAGCATCGGTAAGATAACATAAAAATATCACTAAACACACACTCCATTATATGTAATACAATTAACTGTATGTTTTTACAGAGGTTCACCACATATTCATGGTTTATTCTGGTTCGAAGACGCACCTGATGTGTCAGATTTAGACAATGCTTCAGAGCAGACATTAGATAACATATTGGACTACTTTTCAAAATTAGTCAGTGCTATAGACCCATGTCCTAATACTAATGATTCAGATGTCCATCCCTGCAGAATCACGTACAATGCAATAACCAATTTTCAAGAAGATTTAGCACAGTTGTTACATAAAGTGCAGCGACATACAAAATGTGGCCCAGATGCACCATGCTGGAGAAAGGGAAAGTGCAGATTCAACTTTCCAAAACCATTGCAAACAGATGCATCTATACAGAAAAAAGAAGGAACAGATGAATGGGAATTCTCTCCAGCCTGTAATGACAGTAAATTGAATAAATATAACCAGTTCATAATACAACTATGGAGAGCTAACATCGATATAGCTCCAGTCATTTCGAAACAGGCATTAATAGCATATTTAACAAAGTATATATCAAAATGTGAAGTGCCTTCAAAGTTTCTTGAAACAACATTTTCTGACGTGATTAAGACATTGGAAGAAGATGATAAGGCAAAAAAGGTAATGCAAAAAGTTTTCCTTCGTTCTTGCGCAGAGCGAGACATTTCAGCACAGGAAGTCATGCACACACTTCTTGGATTAAAGCTATACAACGCAGGAGGAAGAAAATTTGTAATAGTCAACTTTAAAAATGAAGAATGGATTCCAGTCATAGACACTGATGATGATGATATCAGAAATAAAGGAACAAATATCATTGAAAAATATCAATCAAGACCAGATACATATGCTCATGCAACTTTATATGAATCAGCACGATTTTATAATCTTCCAAAATGGTCAAAGCCTGATAAAGAAAACATCGTCAGAGTATTTCCACGATACACTATAAATGATAAAGAAAAATTCTTTCGACAGCAGGTTCTGTTACACATTCCATGGAGGAGTGAAAAAGATTTGCTAGCAGATTATGAGACATGGGAAGAAATTTATAAAGAAAAAGGTGTAGATAAATTGTCTCATTCTGCAGAATGTGAAATTGGTGAAATTCATTTTGTGCCTGATGAATCTGAAGAAGCAGATGAAGAATATGGAAGTGATGTCGATGATATTGAAGATGAAGAAGGCATGATTTTATCACATTTGGGTCCACACTCTACTATTCCTGAAGTAGAGCTAGGGAGAAGAGAAGAGGATATACACCACAACTGGCACTCAGTCGATGATGAATATAAAAAATATGGAACCATAAAGCAATTTGAGACTTTCATTGAGAGAATGAAGATTGCAGATAAATCGGCTGTTTCAGATACACCGACTACACAACCACCTCCAGTCACATTAAGTAAAGAACAAGCAGAAGTTATAGACTTTGTTTCAGAACAAATCAAGCATATGCATTCAGGAAAAGATGACTTCATCAAGAGTACCATAGTCCAAGGAAAAGCAGGTAACATATTAGGTTTCATTCACATTATATTATCATATATCCGTATTATACTAATGGAAACTTTCTTGAACAGGTACTGGAAAGAGTCTTCTTATCAGACATGTCATATCATTACTTGAAAATGAATTTGGAAATGACTCATATCTTCTTGGTGCACCAACTGGCGCAGCCGCAGTCCTCATCAATGGAAGAACAATTAATTCTATATTTCATCTTCCAAAGTTTTTAGAGAATTTTAAACCTCTCACTGGAGCACTTGGAAAAGCATTTGCTGATAAATTTAAGAATATTAAATATATTATTTTAGATGAATTTTCAATGATAGGATGTGCAAAGTTAGCAATGATAGACTTAAGATGCAAAGAAGCAACAGGACATTTTGATATACCATTTGGCGGCATTTGCATAATGCTTCTAGGAGACATCAAACAATTACCACCAGTAAGAGATACTGCAATTTATGCCACTCAAGCTGATACAAACATGGCAAAACACGGAATGGCAATCTTTAAAAAGGCATTTCAGAAGACTTTTATTCTAAAAAAATGCTTCAGACAAGAGAATGACACATTCCTTCAAATGCTTGATAAATTGAGTACTGGACACTTTGATGATGATAGTTATACTCTTTTATCACAAAGATTTTCATCAAGCGTATCTCCAGAAGAAAAAGATTCATTTGAAGATGCTATGAGATTGTTTGCAAAGAAAGCTACAGTTAAAGCTTACAATAAGAAAAAATTGAGCACCATTAGAGACAATCATGGAGCATATGTGCCAGTTTTAAAAATACCTGCAAAGCATAACAATAAACATGCAGCACTAGGAAAAAGTTCAGACGCAGATGGTCTGGAAAAAGAAATATACCTAGCAAAAGGCTGCAAAGTCATGTTAAGGCATAATCTTTGGGTAGAAAAAGGACTCGTAAACGGCACTATTGGATATGTCCATGACATCCTTTTTGATGAGAATACAAATGCATCAAATGGAATGCCAGCAGTCATCATGTGCACATTTCCATCATATACAGGACCATCTTTAATCCCTGGAGAAAACGTTGTGCCAATCAGAACCATGTCAGCATCATGGACAGATGACCAAAACACAAAATGCACACGACAGCAGTTTCCTCTTGTCGTTGCTTATGCATGCACCATTCATAAATCGCAAGGCATGACGCTTGACAAGGTAAATAACTCTTTTTATTTTTCTTTCTCATTTTCATTGACATTTTTTAACCAGCATTTTTTTTTTCACACATAACATGTCTGTATTTCTCCAGGTTGTCATTGACATTGAAGACAGAGAATTCTCTGGAGGACTTTCATACGTGGCATTTTCAAGAGTACGAAGATTAAATAACTTATTAATCTACCCATTCCTCATGAAAAGATTATCCAATTTACGTGACCCAAAAAGAATTGCCGCACAAGTTCGGTTTGCTTTCATAGAAACATTTTGCAATAAAGTGAACAGCTAACTAATTGTGTATGATGTATTACATTACATCCCACCTTACATAATATAGTTGACCCAATACACATACCAAAGAAATATACATAGACCATTCATCAAATTTTAATAACATGAAAACACATGCTACAGAATAACATTAGTAAATTTTGAATCTTATTATTCTTCTACTTTAAACACATGCCACAGAATAACACCAATAATTTTTCAGCACGCGCATCTTACATGTCGGCCACCATCATTTATCACACATACATAAAAATTTTACTCAAGCTTGTGGCATGACAGAAAACGATGTTCTTCAAATGCTGAAATTAAAATCTCTTATTACTCTTCCATTCAATACCTTCAACACTATCTGACATTGCTTAAATAATTACCAAGTGATGAATCGTAGATTTCGAAATCTTCTACACCATTGTAAATTCCATAGAAGCATAAAAATAAATGGTGCACTGGGCCATTAATAATCGCATTGAGATGAGCAATAGCCTCATCTGGCAATGCATTAAAATGAATTGGCAGCACAAGATAATAGATGTTTCCATTCATTAGCATGAAATGCACTCTAACTCTGCTCTCAACTCGTTCAATTAAGGTGATCCGATACATGTTCCCTCTTAATAAGTACCTCGCTTCCATGAGCGGTACAGGAGACATATCATTAGACTGAAATCAGAGAATACACATGTAAATATCCATCACACACCACTAATTTAGGCTCTCAATAATTCTGCTACTACATACCATCTCAGATTCAATACTGCTTGATAATAATGGGCAGTTCTACAGCAACAATGAACCTAAACCGCCTTCTCTCAAAATGACCTCTTATTGGCAGTCAAATTTTCAGCAGTACTAAATGCAGTACCATACACATAGATAGATAGACGGGCATTGACACATTAAAATAAGACAAAAAAAGATATAAAAAATATATTTTCCAGATTTTTTCACAAAAATAAATATTGACTCAGCATAGCACATTTTATTTTCATATGTACAGAACACTTCTCAATTTTCCAATCATTCCAAATATTTACGATATTAACAAACACAAGACACATGTATCACTGCAAATTTTCCTTCACATCACATTACGAACATAGACAAACACCTCACATCTTTCACCAAACTAAATCAACCCACATTCCATGCAGCACCAACGATCCACAATTCTTTACACTCAATCAGACTTCATCTTCTTATTATTCATCAACACAGCATTTTCAGCACGACGTTTCATAGACGACATCTTCTTCAACAGCTCCTCATCAACACCTACCACATTACATACAAACACATATGTCAAAATACGATTACACACACATCAAAATAAAAAAAAATTAGAATACATACTAACCTTGACCAGGACGTACAAGACGACAAATGTTTCCATTTCCAACACTGCCATAAAACACAAGACTCCACTTTGAATCAGTGGCTCCATCAGTATTGATACGATCATACAAAGCATCCTTCATGCTTACAAAACACTTTGGCAGATATGTAAACAAATTCAACGATTCAGGAGATGTCACCCGACATATAATTCCAGGTATCTCCTTCCCTTGCACCTTGCTATTGGACCGTTCAAGGGACCGAATAGGATACAGAACACCAACTTCAAGTTCACCAACAGGAATCTTTACATCAGACTCCTGCACCTCATTCAACAGATCATCCAGTTCATCAGACATCTGAAACCAACATTCAATATAACACAAACCACTTTACCCCTTATATCCACACATTTAACCACATATTTCTACATACCTTCACTACTTGACCTAGAAGAATAAGATTTCGTACCAGACACACCAGACAGACACAAGCCTTTTCAACACTTCAAGTTCTCCATGACAACAGCTATCCCCCACCCATCAGCCAACCCAGCCCACAAACTTTAGGCAGAGAACAGACCCAGACAGGGAATTCCACCATCCCAGCAACCAGTCAACAAAAATCAAATCCATTCTCCCATTCTCCCCAGCCTGATGAATTCTGCTCAGAAATTATATGATGAGGAGACACACAAGGCAAATGAATTTTGCCAGATTATGCTACAATCAAACCAGCCAATTAATGCAGGACAAATGCAAGAGACAAGAAATATCAGTGATGCCATCAAACAAACGGTGATGGACCTCATACAGTTCTGCGATATACTCTGCGGAATCTGCAACAAACATACATGGTTTATTGGAGGTACGTCAAATTCATACACATAAATACAACACAATCACACAATACAAAGCATCACATATCACTTTCCTTCTTCAGGTGGCTTTGCAGCATGGTGCGCAGGTCACACCAATCACTTCAATGATGTAGATATCTATGTACGATGTGGCCAAAAACAAATCCCAACAAAAAAAGAACACTTCATCAAGGAATACCTCGCACAATTCCATGAGAAATATCCAGACGCATCAAGTACTGGAAGTATCATATCCCTCAGCGTCAATGATCAACATTACCAGATGATTGATGTAAGTTTTAACATTCAACACATTTTCTTCAACTTCCCTCATAAACTCCTACAACACTCATTACTCATTTTCCCCATTCGCAGGTTCCCTTCATGGTAAACATGCCCAGAATTCCCAATACGCTTAAATTGTTGGACCTCTTCAGCATCCACGTGCTTACACAATTTGACATGCCTATCTGTAGAGTGTCAATTTCCTTCGGGCCATCAGCAGACAAGAACTACATCATAGATTTAACAGACATCAGCTTCCAATGCAAGACTCCAATACCTTCAAGAGTTGCAAAGTACACTGAAAGATTAATCAAACACACATACAACACACCATCATTGACAGCTTCAGTTCTCTTCAGTATCCTAAAACCACCCAATAATTACCTCATTTAGCATCTCTCCTATCTCACATTCTTCCCAAACTTTAATACTACCTTTCCTAATCAATCAAAATCTTTGTCATTACCATCATAAACACCTACCATCTCTAAAGCATACAAAAATAATCATCCCTACCCTGCCACAATATGTGTCGATCATAACAGATATAGAATGAATATTCGAGTGTGATTCATGATATGAATATTGATGTTTCATAACATGCTGTAATTATTACTACATACTATATGCCATATATTATATAAAATTAATTCCCACATTCCATAATGTTGCTAATTTTCTCCCTTCAACTTCAACCGAACTCTTATATACTCCTATAGTACTATGGCATTGTCATAAATAAAATCCAATTCAATATTATCAACTAAATCGTTTTAATTCCAGTACACAGTTTCACATAACACCTCCCTCCTAAGAAAATAAGACACTTCACGAGTAATGTGATGGCATCGGTAACCTCCCTCCTCAGACGTCAAACACTACACATTTTCAAAATACACAGCCTTCCACGACCATTCATATGCATACATCTACCCTTCTTCACTTCTTCACACCAAGGTGGAACCTTGCAGCTTAGAACGCGAAGCCTTCAGAAGTCTTAGACTTCAGCTAGTCATATTTTTTTTCATTTCCTAGATATACTCCCAAAAATTTGGAGCCTTCAGAGTTCCATTCACATTCTATGGGTTTATCCATTCTATTTTTCCACTGTCCACAAAAGAGACCAGAGGATTTGGCTTCATTTAGTTGTGCTCCTGATTGCTGGCTGTAGTATCGATATGCTTCTTTGATTGTCTCGAAGTCTCGATCCTGTGTGATGAAGAAGTTTACGTCGTCAGCAAAGGCTGTGCATTTGGTTGTTTTGATTGACTGGGGAATCAAGTAACCTCTCACACTCATAAGTTTAACAGCTAATCGAAGGAAGGGTTCAATTATTATGATGTATAGAGGCCCAGCAATAGGGTCACCTTGTCTGACACCTATTTTGAAGAGAAAGGGAGCTAGAAGTGCTGCTCCAATCTTGATGTAGCCTTGCTTGTTGGTGAGGAGACTGGTGATGGCTTTGACTAATTTTGGTCCGAAGTTGTGAGTTTGAAGTAGGTGAAATAAGTATTGATGAGATACTTTGTTGAAAGCTTCAGTTTGGTCAAGACTGAGAATAGCCAACGGAGAGTTGGTTTGGTTTGAGTGTGTTATGACATTCCGAATAAGATGAAGGTTATCATAGATGGTCTTGCCAGGGACACAGTAACTTTGGTCTGATGATAATAAGGTTGACACGACACAAGAAATTCTTCTGCTGTAGACTCTTGATATTATTTTGTAGTCAGTATTCATAAGAGAAATGGGTCTCCAATTTTTTAGCTTCAGTCTATCGCCTTTCTTTGGAATCGGCCTGATGATAATTTTTTTCATACTTCTGGGGAGTTCTCCTGTTTCTTCAAAGTTTTTGACTAGCTTCATGAACACAACTTTTAGTTTACTCCAAAAGAGTTTGTAAAACTCTATAGGGAGGCCATCAAAACCAGGGGCACGATTCAGTTGGGCTTGTTTTATTGATTCTTCTATTTCTTTTTCAGTGATGTCTTTCTCGCAAAATTCTCTGTCACACTGTGACAGTTTTGGGAGATCTTGATATATTCTGTTTGATGGATCCACTTGGTTCATATCTTCATCAGAGAAGGATGATGCAAAGGTTTGTTGAACAAATGGAAAAATTCTTGTATTATCAGTTGTTACTTCTCCGTCAACTTCAAGCTGATCCATTTCTAATGACGAAGTCGCCTTTTTAGCAAGGCGAAGAAAGAATTTTGACTGGGTGTTGGCTTCTTTGCAGATTTGAGTTTCAAAGAGTTGAAGTTTGTTGGTTGATGAGGATTTATAAAATTGAGATATTTCTTTTTCAATTTGGATGAGGATTTGTTCATCTTTGCTTGAAAGTTGATTCTTAGAACTAATATGATGAAACTGCGCTTGAAGTAAGGACAGTTGCTCTGTAGCTTTTTGATTCAGATGTTTAGTGAATCTCTGTGATGCAATTTTTACTTCCTCTTTGAGTTGATCCCATAAAATATTTATATCACAGGTAGGCTGTTGACTCTTTTCTTCAAAGTAATTGAGAATATTTGTGATGATTTCTTGATATTCTTCTGATTTTAGTAAGGTGGTATCTAACTTCCAGTATGGTGGCTTGTACTTAGGTTTTGAGCCAATGATTTTCATGATGACAGCTGAATGATCAGAAAAAGCTGGAATAATCTGGATGCTGGTGGTTAAGTTTAGATCTCTCTTCTTGATGTAGATTCTGTCTAACCTTGCCATTGGGTGATTTTGTTGCAATCCTCTGAAAGTGAACTGCGTTGAGTTTGGATGAAAAACCCTCCAAACATCAGATAAATTGTGTTGTGTGACTATCAGTTTGAGTTTATTGGCAAGATGAGTTCTCAATTCATTACAGTTTCTTCTATCTTCTTTTTCCAGAGTTGCGTTCCAGTCTCCAGATAATATAATTTTCTCTTCATCTTTAATGTTCTCAATGTAATTATTTATTTTATTTGCAACTTCTTCTGAAAGCTGATGATCATGCGGCATGTAGACATTGACAAGGTGGAAAACTTCATTTTTATTTATCTTGATTTGGACTGCTTGTAAATAACCTTGGGTGAGTATTTGATGAGAAACGATTTCTATTTCTTCATAGAGTTCACTCTTTATTGCAATTGCACACCCTGATGAAGGCTGTACAGGTGGATTGATGAAAAAATGAAACTTTTCAGGGTGAATAATGGCAGAGTCTTGCTTGAGATTAGTTTCTTGTAGAAAAATTATGGAAGCATTGGTATTGTTCACAAATTGAAGGAGACTCATTTGTTTTTGCTGGCTAACAAGTCCTTTCACATTGAGAGTCAAAAAGGAAGTCATGACCAAAAAAATGGTAAGACTTTTTAAAAGACTATTATACATCACTCATCTGGTTCTTTGAGCGCTTCTGACGCTCTTTTCAGTCTTCTTGATAAGTTTTGATCATTACAATGAATATAAGCTTCATCTAATTTTTGAATTAGTTCACTTGTATTCACACTCATTTTAGCTGCAACTACTTTGGAGTTGGCTTTTCCTCTGGCATTTTGAAGGAATTCTTGAAACTGGTAGAAACTCAATTTTGAGTCATCAAATACTAATTTTTCAGTGGCCTTGTTTAAAGCCATGGCTTGTTTTTCTTGTTTCTTCTTGGCTTTCTTGGATATCACAGGCTGTAATGGTTCTAACATTGAAGACTTCTCTGAGACATCAGAATCTGAAAAATCCGAATCAAGAGAAGTGTTTGTCTTTACAAACTTATTTTGGTCAGTGTCAAATTTTTGTGGTGAATGGACTCTCTTGTTGTTTTTCAAAAAATTATTATTTTCTTCTGTATTGAAGTCAATGATTGTGGGACTTCCACCATAATCAAAGGTGAAAGAAGACATTGACTCATCTTGGGGTAATGTTTCTTCTTTGTTTTCTTCTTGGAGGGGATCTTCTGTTGTTGAATTTGATTCTGTAGTTGGATCTTCATCATTTCTTGAGACTAGGTTTTGAGGTGGTTGTTGTGTGGGGGCGTTTTCTTGATTGAACCTCGGCATGAAATCATTTGTGTTTCTTTCCTCTTGGTTTCTTGATGACTTCTCTCTTTCAGACATGTCAGTTGTTGAGTGGACAAAAAGACGGTGCGATACTGGAGCTTGATACATCTTTTGAAGAGATGGGAAATCTTGATCCATGGTTTGCTTCTTTTTGCATCTTTCTACTCGGTGACCTGGTGCATGACAGTAGGTGCAGGTTACTTCATCCTTTTCGATGTACAACATGTGTTTGACACCGTCATGAGTAGTGAGGGTGAGGCGAGGCGGCAGTGGTGGTGCTTCACTTGGAAGCATCATGAAGATTGATCGTCTCCAAGATTTGATGTGTTTCAAATCATCATGATCAGTGGTTACTCG